CGATAATATTATTATAATTTTTTTATTGTAAGACATAAGTTTTTAACCTACGACGTTGGTATTTTATGCCGAAATCGTTATTGGAGTGCCGATGGTGGAGGGGGGGGGGGTAGACAACGCGTGATGAAAATCGACACTCGCCGCGCTTGGTCGGTGGTACCCATAGTGTGTATTCGTGCTTGTGGTTTGACTTCAAGAGGAAGGGAATGCGGATGTGTGGTGACGTAGCGAAATCGTTTCGTAGTAACCATATTTATTTATATCTTGCGATCGGTATAAATAATAATAATAATATGATTATTGCGCGGACGTAAAAAACCACGCGGTCCGTAATTATTGAGCGTCTTTCCCAAACATCATTCCACACTCGCCCCGGGCGTTTATTATGGTTAATTTTAAACGAATGATCGTGATTTATAAAAAACACGCAATAATATTATTATCGTGTCGCGAACTCCTTTACAGAACTTAATTCGTTTCATGACAGTAACGAAATCGTCAAAAATCGAGTCGTGTTATCCCCGTGTGATGATGTTTAGGAATTTCGGTCCTTTCGGGTTTTATCCACTTTTTATCATCGATCGTCAACGGTTCGCCACTCGCCAGCGAAGTCGGCGGCGAGTCGCGATTTTCTCGTTTGCTCTCGTGTTTTATTTTTATCGCCAAAGACGCGCGCCGTTATCTCGTCGTGTGTTGTACTGCACAGTAGTGTGTAAAACGCGGCGTAGTAGTGTTAATAAATGACGCGTTGCAGCAGAGTACGACGCGAATCGTGCGCGCGAGAAATACAATTAAGATATGTTATTATTATTATTATTATTATTATTATCTCTCGTCTCCGACGACGGAAAACGAAACCAAACGCTTCGGAAAAACCCCGTGCGCGAATCGTCAACGGGTTTATCGCGCCGTTCAGAGCTAGCACTTGTACGAGTAGTGGCGTGGTGTGCTTTCGCAAAGTATTGGCGGCGGCGGCGGCGGCGCAGTACGGATGAAATAACTGAATGTCGCTAGGATTTGCCAACTCTTATCAAAAGTTACGTCACCGCGTCGCCGCGGTGTTTCGTCGGTGGCCGCTTCAAGGTCTCGGGCGCGCGCGAGTTTTTCACGCGCGCCGCGCGCACTCGAAACGCCGCCGACACGACGGTTTCGCACGGATTCTCTGCCGCGTTGTTTATACACAACGAACGCGCAATAATGAACGCTCGAAAATAAAAAAATAAAACCTAACCTAGTACAACGTTGTTGTTGTACAACGCGCGTCATCGACATGTGTGTGTGTGTGTGTGGTATCTGCGACGTTCAGAAATGATTTCATTTTCTCACATCCATTACACACACGTTTTTTTATTAACGAGCGCCGCCGCGCTAATACACACGCCCTCCCGCCCGTCCGCCCGCCTGTTTGTGCCAATATTGCGCGTTTCGCACACGTGCGCGCGCCAATCGTCGTTTTCATAAAATCCGCGTGTTCCGCATATCACACACACACACACACTCACACATGCGCGCGCGCGCGAGCGCGGGACCGGACCGTCTCGCGACGGGTGCATTTTCGAGAACGAGAGGAGTTTGTGTGTCGAAAAATCGGTCGGAGGTCAGGACGACGACGACGACGACGGTGGTGGTGGTGGACTCTGAAAATATAATATGAACAATAATATTATTCGCAAACCTCTGCAAACGTCGTCGCCACATTAAATAATGTCTAATATTATATTATTATTATTATTATTATTCGATGTGCTTCGGCGGCAAATGGCGACGACGAGAGAGGAAGGGCACGTCGAGCAATTTTTCATTCCGTGTTTGCAATTGCGAAAAGAGCCAAACGTATATTTTTGACTTGGCGTGTCGACGCGACGACGACGTACGCGGCCCCGAAAACTCGGCGCTGTCCGGTGTGAAAACGTATTGACTTCAGACTCGCGTCTCGCTTCCCCGTTCGGTCCGTGTACGTTTTTTCGACTCGACAACTATAAAATATATATTGACGTTTTCGTGGTCCAAAGAAAAATCCGATCTGTACGTGTGTATTAATTAATGCGAAACATTTTATTATAGTGACCATGCTTATCCGTACTTCGTGCACGATGCACATTGAACAGTGATGTTCTTATAGGCATACTTATTTTTATTCTAAACAATGTTCATAAAATATACTTTATACGATAAATTTGTTTCCTAATACTAAATCACTGTCGACGTGTATCGACTACGATTTGTGTATAATAATGAGTTATAACCTCTAAAAAAATATTACGTGTATGCCGTGTGGCTTTTGCCATGTTGTCGTGGTTTTTTACGTTTATTTCTGAAATCGTTAACGTCATAACTTGTACATCGACTGATTTGGGCTGTATCGAACAATTTTTAATAAAATAAATTATTTATTAATTATAATGAATACAATTATTTGATATTTTCAATCGAAGAACGTGAAATTGCCTAAACGCATTATACATTTTATACCTCGCATTAGATTATAATATTATGACTTTAAATAGTCATTTCGGAATAAGTCCATAGGCGATTTCCACTAACTGTAAAATTGTATGTATACATATAATTATTATATATTAATAGATAATACGACTATTATATGGTTTTGAGAATCGTATAATTAAAGGAAAAATACAAACACAAATATGTACCTCGCCCCACATAATTATTTTTTATGATAACTACATTAATTATTATAATGTATCGTTTATAATTGTTTATAATACTATATTAATTTATGTGCCGAGATGATTAAATTTTTTTTACAAGTATTAATAATAAGAAGCTAAAAATATTATTGTGTTATGTAACAAAATCATCTCGTTTATTATTTTACATTTTTTTATTGCTTTTTATCAAACAATGTATAAATACCGTTTTTATTAAAAAAAAAAAAAATGTTTGTTATCCAACAAACAAGTCTTATAAGGCTACAATTTCTTGTATTTTGTATCAAGCTAAATTTTTATTTATAATTTAAGTATTAAGTTTTCATTCAAACTTCCAGTAATTTATCAATAAATATGAATTAATAAAAAATGAAAACCAAGTTTTTTAAATACCAAATAATAACAAAATAAAAGCAAACAAGACTTGAATGTTTAAAGTTGAAATATAAATATTCATTAATAGTTTTTAAAATTAGAAAATAGATTGTATTATTTTAAGACAAATAATAAAAACTTTATGGTTGAAAATAGGTTCATTTTATAGGTTTATTATAATTTTAATGAGGTAGTAGTGTATAATATGTAGAATATGTTGAGATGGGTCTATGTAACACTTAATGAAATAATATATTATTACGTCCATTTATTTTTGGTATACTTGATATAGTACCTATTTATTTTGTTTTTAATGAAAAATATTAGAAAAAAATAGTTTTAAAAATATTCAATTAAATTAATAACGTGTTAGTCCATTTTATGACTTATATAAAACATTTGATTAGATTTTATGTTCGGTAAAAATCCATAATTGTTTACCTTTATTGATATAACTATTCATTTGATTGATTTGAACACGGTAATCGGAATAAAACATTTTAGTATACACTCATTTTATTCTGTAATTTATAATTTTAAATGATCTAATGATTTTTGATTTATTTTCATTATGTTTAATCAATTTAAACCGGCATTGAACTAGTTATTTTTTTAAGGATATTCTAAAATCCATAATATTCATTTCAATCGATCACAGTCTTAAAGAACTACGTAAATAAATACATAATAATATTTAATATAGACTAAGGAGAGTCTGCTTATAAAGTTGATCTTTCACTTAACCCTTGTTATAGAACTACTGTTATTGGCCGGGACTATTGCACTTACTACGCATTACACTTGTGTTTCGGTATTCCCGTTGTATACTTCCATTCTTGTCTGTCGTGCATTTAATAAAGCTTAATCAAATTGAAAAAAAAATATTGAAGGTCGTATGGACAGAACACAATAATTTAATTTATTACAAAATGAATGTATTCTGCAGAGAGAATTTTTTTTAAACTTATTTTGTAGATTGGAGGCGAAGATATCAAATAAATATTTCGACTATAAATAAGAATTATGATGTCGAATTCGTACTATCCACACCACACACGGACTAATTGGTTCATGATGTTCTACCGTGTGTCGCGTGTATGTAACTTGATATAATACCCATATTATCTTCCCGGATTTCAGCCTTGAGTTTATTAAAGGGCATGACGATCCGCTATTTCTATAAGACGACTGCAGTGTTATAAGACACGTTTATAACATTGTAAACGGTGTGCCAATGCTACAATTTCGTAGGAAATAACTGTGAGGACACCAAAAGTTAACGATTTCAAATCATACCGATTACCATATTGTATTTCATTAGGACTTAAATTTTACACCAACGGCGGGCACGCATGATTTATTAATATGATACTTATAATACACATAATTTATATTCACTTTAAAACGGATAATTTGTATTCCGAAATTCATTCGGCCGCAGGTGGGAGTATTCGTCAAGGTTTGTCTTTTCATATATTGTTTTAACGACGTTGACGACAATCAGTGTTAACACTTATAAATTTAAAACATGTGAAATAAACCTGTAAGTATCTAGATTACTAACATAATCTCGAAATTCGATGTATTCTTCGTTTTTTACGTTTAACTTTGCTGCTAAGCGCAAAACATATATTGAGTATTAAAATACTCTCAATGATGGAATGGGAAAAATAAAAACGAAATACAACTCGTAAGAAACTCTAATATCTATTTATATTCAACGTGTTAGGAATGAATATATTACACACATAATATAATTTAGAATTCGGTCGATTATTTCGATAACCATATTATTATCCAGTTAAATTATCATTAAGGCGTGTAACATGCATTAATGACGCGCATTCTGTACCCTACAGCTACTTGTATTCTGTATATAATAACGACTTAAAACTATAGGTATGTCGCCATCGTATAATTAATATTTGGCCGTTTCGGCGTGTGTGTTTACAGAACTCTATACGTCACAACCTGTCACTTCACAGCCGGTTCGAAAAGATCCAAAACGAGGGTACCGGCAAATCATCATGGTGGCAGATCAACCACAACGCGAGTAGGACGACCGGAAAATCCAGGCGCCGTGCCACATCCATGGAGACACCCAAATTTGAGAAAAGACGTGGGCGCGTAAAGAAGGTTGTCGAGGCTATTCGCAATGGTCTGCATCCCGAAAACACGCCTAGTCCTAGCTCTTCTATTTCTGAAAACTCCGACATGATACCTGTGTCACCCCTTAGGGGATTCCAATTCAGGTTGGTAATTTTTTTTAAATTTTCGTTGTATCCGTGTAAAATATAGTATTTATTTCTCGTTATCGGTCATGTATTTATTATATTTCTACTGAACTTTGCTATAGGAAATAAAACATGTCGTTATGTCGTTATGTAATGAATTTAATGATGAACGCGTTCGATTCGTGTGCTTTCCGTGGTCACGAAAACTTATTCGTCGAACGCGTGACAATAATCATGGACTATTATTAATATTTTAATTAACCGTCAAAGCATCGATTTTTGTAAGTTTTGGTCATTTGATTTGTTGTTAAACATTTATCGTAATTGATTGTACCCGAAAATATTAGGCTGATGTATACTGAGCAATTGTCTCACGGAAACGTAAAAGGGACCATTTTGAAAAGGAAATATGTATAATGTATTAAAAAATTTTTAAGTAAACACGACCAATTACTGATTACCTACTGATCGGTCTTCTTATGTCTTATTTGTTAGCGATGTTACACGCGTACCTCGATTTATGAGATCCAATCAAACAGATCTTGTATGTATTTTTTTTTTTTTTTTTTTTTGAAACCGAACCAATCCAAAAATGTTCAAATCCGTTTCAAAAAAAAAAATAAAAAATATTTTACATTATTTAAAAATCGTATATTATTATCGACTAATCAATAAAATAATAAACAACAAATCGTTTTTGAAAATAATCAGTTCGGTTTTCGGACCGAATCTCCGGTGCTTTATAACAGTAATCGGTTCGGTTCAAAAATGACGACTGCTGTTTGTTTGGAACGTCACTAATCTTTGGGTAATTGCACGTTACAGCCCCGACTTCAGGGCGCGGGCTTCGTCGAACGCTTCGTCCACCGGCCGTCTGTCACCGATACTCAGCGAGCAGCTCAGCACCGCCGACTACGGCCTGGACTCGGTGGCAGAACAGGGCCAGGCCGACCAGCTAGCCGGCTCGCTGGCGCAAACCGTCCGGCTCTCTCAACCGCTGCAGACGCTCGAAAGCTATAGAGACGTGTTCAGTCGTCCACCACCGCCGCCGTACAGTAGCTTGTCGATCCAGTCGTGTTCTATCCACGGTTACCAAGCGTGTTCGTGTTTCAACCTCAACCAGCTCGATAACGCTTACATAAAACAGGTACTATACGCGCCGCCGCACGGAAAGTGTCATTTTTGTAGTTGTGGTTTGGTTGGGGGGGGGGGGGGGTGGTCGCTGGTCACTGTTGTTGTTCATTACCAATGACCAACTGACGTATAATAGTATCGAATATGGTTTAATAACCTATAATGGTACATAGTCTAGTCGTTGATCACAATCATCGTATAAATCAACCTGTCGGTTGACTTATAAATTTAAAAAAACGAAAATTCGAGTTTTGACTTCGGACGTGTAAAATCCGTTTTTTCGTGTACTTTTTTTTTTTAATTTGCGCGCAGAGTATATAATCCGCTTTCAAACTAACGAGTAGACTCGAAACTCATATTATTTTCTCCCCTAGGAGTGTATATCGTTCGACAGCATGTTGAACGACCAGCAGGATGACAACATGTCGGCCACTGTGGTTGGACAAATTATGGGTTCGTCACATCTGTCATTCGACGAGCTCAACATCAACTTGGATAAATTCCCGCCCGTAGAGTGCAACGTGGACGAAGTGATCAGCCACGAAGTCAGCCTGGGCGGCTGCTTGGACTTCAACAACTTCAACCCACCGGCACAACCGCAACCGTCGGTAGCTACCACGCAGACACTGGCGTCCGTCAGCCACGACCAATCGTCGTTTACCTCCGGACACCATTGGGTCCATTGAAAAGGTGTGTGTGGGTTTATGTGTGTATATTATAATGCTATATATTATTATAATATTAATTTTTGGTTGTGCATTTGACGATTTTCGATTTGTGTCTTCAATGCCAACGGATCGTTCAAAACTTTGGGTGGTAAGAAATGGTTAAAAAAATGTTTTTCGATTTTTTGTAGTCCTAAGAAAATGCTTCACTTACATGCGTTGTCTCTGCCTTACATACATAGAACACGGTAAAAAACTTTCACGCGGGTAAGAACCACTAGGGCAGATTTCTTCACAAAGTTTTCACACTAGAAAAGGGAGATTTTGGAATGTGCAACATCTTTTTTATTTTTTCGATATCAGAATTACAAAAAAGTTATTCAATAGTTTAAAAAACACATAAATAATGGGATTGAAACGATGAGAACTTTTTTCGTACTAACGATATCAAAAATCGATTTTGCACAGTCCAAAATCTCCTCTTTCTAGTATGAAAATTTGGTTGTTTAATTTGGACTATAGTATCTTAGTGGTTCTCGTCCGTGTGGTGAAACGGTTTTTATTGTGATGTACGTATGTAAGACGAAAACACGTGTACGGGTGAGAAACGTCCTCTTAAATACCTCTCATTTGATCATTATAATAAATAATAATGTAGTTTACACCAAGCGCGCTTTAGTTTGTTTTGATTGAAATACGAAATTTTAGCTAATTTTAGTTCCATAATGTTATAAATACATAGAGCCATGTGCATTAAGATTTAAAACGGACGGAAATCACCGTAATAATATAATATTCTCCTGACATTTTAATATTTCGTGTTAGTGGTCACCGTATTTCGTGATTATTTATTCGAACGTAAGCGCCCATGGTGGTGTTGGTAATGCATACCTTTTTTCTCATCTATTAATATTATCAGTGTATCTAAGTGTTTCGGAATAGGCGGAGTCACGTCACCGCCGTCGCATTGTCGTGAACCATTTCTATATGTGTACATCGGGTGGGTCCTAATCGGTGTGTGTGTGTGTAGTAACACTGATGATAAAAAAAAAAAAAAAATATGTATATATATTTTTTTTCAGTAAATTATTAAACGTCTCGTTATCTCGTGTTAATGCGTCGTCTTCACTAACGTTCGGAATAGTAGTGGTTTCTGGGTATCTGTTTTAACCGGAGCACTGACAATATCCGTTAATGATTCAATTTCAGTAAAGCACTCTTGAGAATACCCGAGATAAAGAACCTAAAATCGTTCTATTTATATCAGTTATTTATAATCCCGCCGGCGACGAACTAATCCACTCGAATTTTCCGTCGTAGTTTTTTGTTCGCTTTTTTTTTATTTTTAAAGGAAGACAGATTTGCGTTTGCAGCGTTACTCTTTTTTATAGCCCTGTGTCATACCATTTCCAGTACAAATTATGTAAGGTTGTTTCAATCGGTCGTGTTCTTCCCTCACAGGCGTTTTTGTTTCTCCCTTATCCGTGTAGTGGCGCCTTTGTGAAACAAGTTGTGGACTTAAATTATCACTCCCTCTCTCTTTCTCTACTTCTTCGCCGTCTCGTCCGTCACCGAAAAGTCGGCCAGTGCACTTGTATTAATAAAATGCTTTCAATTTGCGTCTGCATTCTTACGCCTCGGGTTCGCTTTCGCCACCACCTTAGTATTACAGAGTTTGCTTTAGTGGCGTTAGCCAAACAAATCTCAACCGATTGTATCAGCACCGTGCATCATAATTTTTTTTCGAGTTCAATTCGACAATAATTATAATATAATATGGTAATAACCGGTGCGATTAAGGATCATGCAATTAATGCATGAATATTTTATAGACGTTTTAATTGACGTTAATTTTTAAAGAATTTAGAAACAATCGGCGGTTCAAAGGTCTCGTTAATCGTTACTGATGTGCCCTTCTATTTTACCGTTAGTTGTATGTCGACGTACGCTATCCATGTACGGTGTATTATATATTATTATAATAATAATAACAATAATAATATTAGGTATGAATAAGTAATTAATAATTTTTCTGTATGTTAACAGCATATTTAAATATTTGAATAGATACTTCATTCACTGTCAACTCGATAAAAAATTCGTTTGTGTTTCATAATGTAAAATTGACGTAGGTGATCAGTAGTGGACTCTGTCCGCGTGTGTTGTTCGGAAATCTAGAACGTCTTATGAAAATTACACGGTATATTAATATTTTAATTTTGTTGAATGTCGTTAGTGGTTTTTCATTGTTTCTGCAGTCTACTCCACATATTCAATTTTAAATGTTAATGTGTACTTATATACAATCAAATATGAGAACGATATGATAAACTCTAGACTCTTTATTCTCTTATAAATAATTATTTGAGTATCGTTAAAGATTTTTGTTTTTTTTTTTCCCTAAAATCTTTTGGAAGTCTAACAAACAATTTAAATAGAGTAATAAATTATAAGTTCGAACAACATGAATATTTTTTGTACCAAATTATTATTATTGTTATTAAATCAATGTGCATTGTGCTAATATAATAATAATATATGCTGTTTCTAGGCTACACTATAATATTTTCTGATCTTGTGTATGACGTAAACTGAACCATTTAGCATGTTTGTCAGTTTCGTGTGTGCGTTGGGGAGGGGAATGACTTAAAATTTATTTTTCATCACGTTCTTAAGATTTAGAGTGCCAATGTGTATAGAATTTAGAGGGGGGCGGTTAACAGTGCAGTATTCGAGTAACATATTCTCATTTTTACTTGAAATAAATGAATAATAGACTAAGCAGCTATATGAATTGTATAATGTTAATGTTTAATGAGTAATGACCTAACTGTATTACTACAATAACCAATATTTTTTAAAATTTATTTTTTGAATTGTGTATTTATTTATGTTTTTTATATTTTTTGTTCTAGTTGAAGCGATTGTGTGTTCTATGGGAAATTTTAAAGACAAGTCTATGAAAGTGTTTTAATTATGTTGCCCAGTAAATTTATGTTAATTTTTGAAGTTTTAAACATATTAATACATAAATATTATTATTTAATTATATATATACATAAAAAAAAAAAATGTGTTCGTTTTAAAGTAACAATTATTTTATACATTCTACAACTACAAATATTATTTGCTATGTTAGGTTAATGTTATATTTTATTATAAATATACATAATATTCAATATATAATTTGTTAAAATTAGTCTAATATTTGTTGTAGTCTTAAAAATTCATGTAATTATTATGTATTGTTATTTAGATCACTTAATGTTAAACTTAGTCTTTTAGAAATATGTTTCGAGTTAGCTTTTTATAGCTTAAGCAATTTCAGGTGTTACTGTAATCAAAAATCTTAAGTTAACTTGTTAGTCTTAAGCATTGTAAATATGTTTTGCAAAAAAAAAAAAAAATGCTTGTAGCCCACATCCACATTATTAATAATTTATATGTAGATACACATGTTTGATTAACAAAAATGTCGGCTACACTTTTACGTTTGTAATTCAAGGACAATTTCCATTTTCTTACTCAGAATTATATATTTATACTTTATTTGAGTTAATCTTGTTTAACATACATAAACAGGCACACATATGTGAATGTGCATGCATGATCACGTATGTATATATATATATATGTGTTCATGTTATCACTTATCTTAAAGTGCTGAGTAATAAAGACTGATTGTCTTTGAAATTATTGTATTTTTCTTTTATTATTAATTTTTTTTATTGTTTATTGTGTATAAAAAAAATAAATATCAATGGAAAGTATTTGCTAGTAAAAATGTTTATTTTCATCAAACAAACTAAAATTAATTAAAAGAATACAAAATTATTTTACATTTTTGTGCCATAAATATTTTAATAAACATATTTTCACATGACAGTGTAAGTATTTACTATTTTTTATAGCTGTGCAACAAAAAATATTTAATGTTAATATTTGTATGTATATATGCATACTTATATTTATATTTTTTGTTCATTTAACTCATTTAAATGAATATGTGCCAGTGCCTTTGATCTCAAAAAGATATACCTCCAAAACATAAACAAAATAACATTTTCAAATATGAGTAGCTTTTGTGTTAAGTATAAATACATATATATTGGATTTATTTGAACTTATATATTATATTTATTTTAATTAATAATACACATTACATATAAATGTTAAGGTAATTGGATGTAAAAAATAACTTTTTGTATATATGACAAAAAAGTGTAGAAGTTTGTTTGTTTGTTTGTTTTTTTTTTTTTGCACTAAATTGTTGTTATCCTTACAAGCTCAATGTGTATAAATCAATTTTAGTGTGCTTAAATAAATGTGATAAGCTTATTTTTGGGGAATTATATTGTACAAGGTATAAGATGATGATTTTTTTTTCTATGGACGCTAATGAAGTGATAAATAGAATAATTAATTTGTTTTAGCGATTCTAACTTTTAATAATTGATAATTATTATATTATTATTACTATATTATTTATTATCTACTAAAAACAACAAATGTAAATACAAAAATGTATTTTAAACGTAAATTTACTGATGTTGCTTCTTTTTAATGTGTCAATTTAATACGGATTATTTATTGTTATGGATTTACGGATAATTTGAATATATATTTGACAACTGTTTTGTATTTCATTTCTTATATATTAACTTTTCATAAAATAGTGTAAATGTTGATAAATAATAAAGCAAACTGCCTTTATGATATGTTTACAGCATTTTTTTTTTTTTTTTTTACCATATGATAGCGATTTTACAAGCTGTTTATTGTTAATTATATTATATACATATTATTAAAATTAAAATTTTGGTTGAATTAAATTGTATGTTTTCATTATATCTCAATAGAACTAGTAGTACATGTTGCACTGCACGGCACATTTGATAATTGTATTTGTTGTTATTTTAATTGTATTATTATGTATTTAATACTAAAAAAACATCTTGACATTACATTATTTTGAATAATGATAATATTAACTGTTTTCTTGTATAAATAATAAATATTTAACAAGTAATAATGATAAATATGAATATAATAAAAAAGTATAGACATTAGGTTGATTGATTAAAATCATCACATTTATTTAGTAATAATTCTTATTCCTTACTGTGCAATCTATTACCTATATTGTGAGAAAAATGTATACCTGTTTTGAGTCGAAGTTTATCATAATATTGATTATTGCTAACTGATGTATTTGGTTTTCTACTCTGAACTATGGCATTAATCTCTATAATTTTTTTTATAAATATAACTGTTTTATTTTTATTTTTACTATGGATTTCTACTCTGAACTATGGCATTAATCTCTATAATTTTTTTTATAAATATAACTGTTTTATTTTTACTATGGATTGCGTTTATATAATAGCTACATATATTTAATTGATTATTGATTTCATGATAACTAGGTAATCAGTTATTAATAAGTCTTTCTAAAACTGACAATTTTAGAATCTGAACGGAGTATTAAAATATGTATTGGTTTTGCTGTTTAGTTTTATAATCACGGATGTAGTAAAAATCTTCAAATATCACTTAAATAGATTGGAAATTAAAACATAATACGACACTTAAAATACTTTGGAAATGTCTTCGAAAAACTATGCAATAACAACAAAGAAATATGTTTTTTGAAGTGTGTGTTTTTAATTAAATCTCATTTTTTTTTTTTTTCAATAAACCTAGTTTATTTATAATCAAAAATCATTTTATAAATAAACAAAAACGTTAAAATCCAGTCGGTAATTTTTGTGACAAAAATCACTAATGTGATGTATATTGTATACAGGCTATTCAGGTATACTACTAAAACACTAAACGGCATGTCGCATGTGCCATTATTTGTAATGCCTAAATGTACAATAAATCTGATAATCGCATGTATAATATTCGTAATCCATTATATTATATTTCACAGGATAGTTTGATTGCCTTAATTGACAATATTTCGTAAAAATATAACTCAATATTTGTACACGGAACACCTCTGTAGACTTGACCAGACATCCATGCTAAGGGGAGCCTTTATTAAAGTTTTAAATAATGGATTTGCATTTGCATATTTTTCCTGGTTGATCTTATTCCAGGTGTGCCATGTAATTACAAAATACGATTTACAATGTTGCTTATGAAGTTGTAAAATACTTAATCAACATTTATAGTGCATATATTTGAATATATTTTGGAGATTTTAGGGTATACTTTAATGTTTTAGTGTAGGCATGTCAAACACGCAGCCCTCGGCTCATTTTTTGTGGCCCGCAGCTACCAATATTAATGGATAAAAAATAAAAATAATATTAAAATATTAATGCTCCGTCACAATTATTTTGGATAATTAGAGAATGGTTTATTTGGTATACATTACTATACTGTCTTATCTTCTGATAAGCTAACCTTTTTTAATTTAGTTGTATCTGCTGTGTTCGTGAACGTAAAGAATAAAAGTGAACAATTTGTATAAAACATTTATTTTTTTTGTTAAATTTTTATGTGCGGTCCGCGTAGTAAACTATTCAATATATTTGGCCCACTTGACACTTTGAGTTTGACACGCCTGTTTTAGTGCACGGTCTGTGTACCTACTTATTTAAGTATCACATGTATATCCCAATATAATGATTACACACATTTTAATTATTTTTTTATTATCTATTATATATTAATCTAGAATACTTTTTTTTTATATCTAGTAATTTTATTTTTACTATGGTGTTTTTCAGGTAAAGATTTGGAAAGAATCATATTATGATTCATGTTTAATATCTATATAAGTGGGAGACTTCAGAATAGTACATCTGAAATATTGCTTTTAAATTTAGATGCGGTTACAATTATTATATAAATATAGTTGTACTTTTTTTTTTTTTTTATTAATATTTACAATCTGTATTGACTGTATTCAATGTGATACAATTAGTAAATTTATTTTCTTATTTTACTAGGCGTGTTGATATAATAGATTATTGAAAGAAGCATCCATTGAGTATTGACACTAGACTTCAACAATATTTCTTTTATTTATTTATTATTTTTAGAATACTTATAATATTTAAAAAATGTATATTATGTGTATAATATGCATAGCTGTCGCCAGGGGTAGGTAATAGGTTTTTGGCCCTTCCTCTCACCCTATCATCGAAATGTAAAAAGATGATTAATTTTTTTACATTGATTGAAAAAAAGTAAATTTTAGTAACTGGTGCAACTATAATGAAATATACCTAATAATTGTAAATAACGGTCGTAGTACAAGAAACATGGGAATACACACAGGTGACTGACGTGCATCGGCAAATGTGTGACGTGCTTCGTTGGACCGGAAGTGGCGGGGCAACAACAAATACAGCATGTGTATTCAAGATTCGTTTCGTTGAAATGTCGTATTGCAAAAGAGCTACGCACTCGCTGTGACCAAAAAAATTGTAACGGCATGACGGAAGTGGAGAAAAGGCCGTTGATGATTGCTTTTTCTCACGGACCGACTGACCGATGACGGAAATTATTGCGGTTGCTGGTTAATCTCTTACTAAGTAACGTAAACCATAATATTACACGGAAACATGGAAGGTAGGTATAGTCGCTTTTGACGTAGTATGAATTCAGAAAATACGGTCAGCATTGTGTACCGACGAATTGCAGTTTAAAAATTGGCTGGAACCCGATTAAACACGGTTATGATAAAACAATAGGAACTCAAAAAATTTCAAAAAAAACAACATAGTTGAGAACGAAAATAGGTACGACGTTGCCACTTTATACCGTAGAATATTATTATTAAAAAATAAATTACATTTGAACACAAATATTTATAAACAAAAATCTTTTATTGGTTTTTAATCGTATTATTACACAATTTTAGAGATGTAAGTTTTTCTTATACAGTGGTACAAAACTGTATTATACAAGGTATTATTATAATATAATAAAAGTATTATAAGGTAACCTAACATTATAATATTATTAATATAGGTACAATGAGATAGTATATAAGTATTAATTATTATGGTCTCGATTTATTT